GTTTTAAATGTGAGGCACATTTAGCATCAGGATACAGAAGTGTAACTCAAATGCATTCATAAACTTTCTAATTTCTATTTGAGCTCTAATTTCACATTCTGGAGATAGCTTTTATTTCTTTGGTCTGGGTTTTAATATCTTTTTGGTGTTTGCTGTTAATGAAAGTATGGATGGCTGAATAAGTGTGATTTAAATTTTGTTCCAAATGTCTCTGAAATTTATGATGATTCCAAACACTTCTGGAAACAAGTTCCACAGTTATAGAACAGTGATATGTCTTTTGCACACACAGTAACTTTAAAATCATCTGTTGTTCAAACTCTTACCATTCTTTGCTACTCCACATACCATAATATCTTCTGTACATCTTGGTTAGGGCCAACAAACTTTGTTGTTGTCTGATCTTCAATGCCACCGTAATAAAATATTCATGAATAAATGTCTATTAATATTAAAAAACTGTACTAGCATGAAAAAAAAAAGGTGGCAGAGTGGTTGTAAATAACAAGCAAATCGTAATGGAGGTAAAGCGCACAAATGCCATGCTGCTGAACACGTGAGCAGTTACACTTGAGCCAAGTGTAACCCTAGCACTGGCAGCTTCGTTCTCAGGTGAAATAAAGTCTCCATGACCCCACCCACAAATCTGAGGCTGACAGTGGCTGTTGAGAGTTCGTGGTTATTTGAGTGACTGAATGGAGATGGGGAATAAAGTCATACATCTAGAAATGTGGTAACCTGGATGATACAAAGATTTTACTTCTAGAATTCAGACAAGCTACCTTTTCCAATCTCTGAAATACTACTTTTGCTGCACTACAATATTTCCCTCAGACATATAAATTCACTGTATTGATTTCTTTTGTCAGCACAATGTTCTATATTGTGATCAAATTAGTACACTGTACTTCAAGCAACCTTGCTATCTTTTAGAATTAAGCAGTCATCTTACCTGGAAAAATAATTTCACACATGCACTTGTCATTATTCAATTCCAGGAGTGGTACAGGAATTTATCCTCCTTACACAAAATCCATGAGTCTCTTCTTAGCATCTGAGTAATCTCAAGATCTTTTTATGTTTCTCTAACGGGAAGGAGAATTCTTTATTTAAAGCCACTTGAAAGAGAATGGAAACATTTTTTTTTACTTTTTCTCATAAAATTTTAATCCAAAATGGTAGTAATTTTAGATCTTTATAAAAGTTTTTATAAGATGTTAAGAACTTGAAACATAATAGTGATGCAAACACTTACGAAACTGCCTTTTGTTTATTGTGCATCATTTCCTCACAACAACAATGCTGTTATTCACTGTTGTATAATTTATCCTAGTGCCACTTTAATTGTGCTTTCAACATTCATAGGAACGCATTCTATTTGGGATAATTACTCACTTTGGAGATGATCAGCAATTTGGTTCAATGAGCACCTCTGAAAATTACCCTAAATGTCTGCAGAAGGCATTTTCTTGCAAGCTCAAGACACTAGGTTTGTGAGAAGGTTGTTGTTTTTGTTTTCTCTTTTTGTCTTTTCCTTTTCTCTCTCCTTTCCAGTCCAGAAAACATTTGCAGGCTGCCCTAGAGCATTCTGTTCCTGCTAACTGTTTACCAGCTATTTCTTTTTGTTTGTTTTCTTTGTAACTGTGGCACAAACCTACGACTCCCCAAAAAAACTCAACTAACTTTAAGGCGCTTCCTTAATATTTCAGTTTATTTAAGACAAGTAAGCAAAACCAGATGGATCCCTCAGCAACTTGGGTGTCCACAGGGAAACATGTATTTCAGTATAAATATCCATTATGAAATCATCGCTAAGATTTAAATTTCTCTATTTAATTACATTTGCATCGAACATGCAATCATCAATCAATTTAAAAATAAAGTAATCCTTGCTATTCCTGTTTAGACTGCAAAAACACCATGGAGACGGGTCTTTATAAACAAGTTCAGTCACAGCAAGTTGATGGATCCTGTTCTTCTAAACTGACTTAAATGCAGTGATGAAAGCTTAAAACAGTTTTGTTGCCAGAGCCCATTTCTAACGCATTTATTCATACTAGGTTACCATATAGGCAACTACTCTGAGTTAAGCAGGTAACTTACATGGGGAAAAGAGCATTCTTGGTATCTTTCTATCTTTTTGCTAACTTCACAGATAGTAAAACTTTTTAGTAGAAAAGTTGTGTATGACAGCACAGTGGTGAAAGCTGGAAAATGATGCATGCAAGAAAAAAACCAAACATGGAATTTACAGATAGCACTTTGATTCTGAGTGTGGTATAGATCTAGTAGTAGATCCAAAGTAGATCTATAGTGCTAATCAAATATGTATGTAATATTATGTAATATTTTCCCTTCTCTTCCCTGAGAAGAGGCTTCAGCAAGGCTTTTCAGTCTCTGTATTTTAATTTGCTTCAAGAACATGTCAAAGTTAATGCCCCCACCTTTGCAATATCTACCTGGGTAAAATCCTGCTCTGGAGATACATCCCTTGGTAGTTCATATGAGATGCTGCTCAGTGCAGCTGATTTCTGATATGGTAGTTCTAAAACAATCATAGCATGAAAAAGTATTTGTTTTCCACCATCAGACATGATGGCAGACTCCAACCTAACTGATTCTATGTATATTATGCACGTGCTATTATCCATAAATGTCTTCTAACTCCCTAGTTTAAGAACAGCCACAAAACTCCTTGTCAGCTTTCTCCCCAGTAAAGAGCATTCTCTTTGAAGAAAAATACCATTGTACAAAGAATGGCAAGCATTACAGGAGTATCATTGACACGGATCAGTGTTTCACAGCACTTTGAAATGCTCATCTTTTGATTCATTTGAAGTATGGTCACAAATATAGATTATTTGTGTATATTGTATAATCTATATAATATAGATTATAGAGCCATATAGATAAGGATGGCAGAAAAGCTGAGCACTTTTCCTGCATCTTTCTAATCTCTGATTGCATGACCTCAGTGTGATCTGCTGCTCTGGTTCAGTGTGATACATATTTTGAAATCCCTCTTCTGTAAAAATGAGTTTTCAGTAGGAAATAACGAAACCCTGCATACTTGCACATCTTCCCCCTATCTCCTCTCCTTCCCCCCGCTCCATAGTCTTAGGATCCTTGCAACATATGCACCAGGTAAGAGACGATATATATGAGCATACCTAGATCTCTGTGTCTACTGATGGACAAAACAGCTGCTGCCTCTGGACCTGTGTGTCTACTGATGGATGAACCAGCTGCTGCCACTTCCTTCTGTGATGAAGATTTATCACAATACCATTCTTTCTATTATGTGTAGTTCACATGGGAAAATAGTTTACTTGCTTCCTTCTGTATTGTCTGTGGGATGCCTGCTGTACATTGATTTCATGTCTGTGTACATGTGGAAACCAAGGTGCTTCTGCATTACTTCTGGCCCTTATCTAAAGCAGGCTGGTTGTCTTGGTTAATACTGTATTTGTTGCACATCTGCTGGATGGTAATGTTCCAAACATATTGAAACCAAAGATACATTTGACAATAGCATCTCACATACTTCACAGTGAAAGTTTCTTGATTTCTGTCCAGTAAGATTTACATTTCATTAAAGGTTTTTGCATGATACTTGATTTAATCTTTCTGTATCACTTCATTAATGATGTCTATTTCTGCAGTTGGGCACTGTGGCCAACATATTATTTTTATCTGATAGGAAAACAGTCATCAAAAAGCCTCCTTTCATGTGCTTTCCTGAACCTGGGCTGAGAACGCTAGCCAGAGGTGCCTGCAAGACATCCAGAATGGCTCCAAAGTAGAAATCCTTTTGTCACCTAAAAGTTTCAACCAAAGCTGACTCATTTTGGATTTCCAAAACTACCTGAGGAATTACAGTTCCATGTCTGCTTACAGGTACCTGAAAACTAATCTGTTCATTTTATAATAGGCTGAAAACACTTTTACTTTCAAGAACAAGGGTCCTTGTTATGTCATCAAGCCATGAACTCCTGATGGACATCCCACACATTCACCAAGAAATGGCAGAGAGCCCTCAACGATTTGCAGTGCATGTCTCTAAGTATCCTAAAATGTCCCCACTAGAGGAAAGACTTCCAGTTTTACTGTGTGCCTTGTACATCCCAGCAAGACCTGCTGAGTGTATCATTTCTTCCTCCTACATCTCATAATTTTGTAAGACTACTGTGCAGCAAGATTCAAGCTGAGGGATTTGTCTCCCTTTCCTCCCTAAAACCCAAATCCTGTTGAAAAAAAAAAAAAAAAAAATTATTAGGGGTACGCTAATTTGGATTAATCTTTTATTAACTGCTACCACTGCTTGACATTAATATAAATCCACTTCTGTCTCCTCTCACGTATCACACAGGTGGCACGGCTGCAAATTTATAGAAGCTGCTCTGGAGACCGCGGCTTAATTAATGCAAGGCAAAGAATTACCTCTGGATGGAAATCCATCTCCTTACTTTAAAGCGGGTTTTTATATTTGTTACCGAGTAAGGTTCTCAGCCAGACAGCGCAAAAGTACAGTAAAGGTAAGCGAGTTACTTTTCATTGGCTTCCTTTCCTACACAGCCGTGAATAGCAGAGGCATTCTCCCTCTCTGTAACTAAGAAAACTCAAAACGCGCGAGTGCCAGCAGACCACAGAACGGTCTGAAAACTCGGCGGCGAGGCGCAGCCACCCGCACAGGGTCCCGCAGCGCGCTGCCTCACGCCGCTCTGCACCGGGTGCCGAGGGCGGCAGAGCCCCGCCGCCCCGTGCGGGATGCCCTCCCTCTGCCCGCCGCCCCTCAGGCACGGGAGCGGCCTCTGCGGGGCCGCGGTGGCCAGGCTGCCGGCGAGCAGGGAAGCAAGCAAGCAAGCAAGTAGTCAGGCTGCAGGCTGGCTACCACCACTTAGCTCGGCGGAGGAATCGCCCGGCGGTGCTATGGCCGTGCGTGTGCCGCGGAGGGATCCGCGCGGGCCGCCGTGTGCCCGCCTCCTGCGCGGTGCCGCTGCCTCCCGATATAGTGCGGCGCGGCGCGGTGCGGGCAGCAGTTGGCGGGCGGCGCTGTGCGGTGTCGGCTGCGAGCGCATCGAACTTGGGACTGTCCGCCGGCGCCAGCTGCTGAACATGAGCCTCCTGCCTCTGTACCTGCTCGGATTGCTCCTCAGTAGCGGGCAAGGTAGGAGCGGGATTTTATTTTTATTTTTTAATTTTTTTTTAATTGTTATTATTTTTTCATTCTTCCTGAATTATCGCTGTCTCCGCGCTCCGTCACTCAGCTTCGCGTGCAACGGGGGAAGGAGGAAAAATCAAAGCGGTGTGTCAGCCGGGAGCCGAATTAAAGCGGGTCTCAAAGTTGTTCCATTCCCTCGCCCCTCCCTTTCCTAGCGGTCTTCGAGGCGCGGGGAGAATCGCTTATAAGAAGGGGGAAAAAGCTGAGAGGTTCTCAGCGCACTTCGCCGCTCCAGGTTGCGCTTTTTTTTTTTTTTTTTTTTTTTTTTTTCCTCGGAGATAAATGTGGGAGGGAATTCAAACCAATAAAAAAAAAAATCAGTTGGGGATCGCGCTTCAAAATCCGCGTCTGAGTGAGGCAGAGGCAGCGTGGGCTCCGTTCTGGGTGCGGGCGGGGAGGCAGCCGGCCGCGAGGAGCCGCTCCCTGGGGCAGGTGTGCGGGGTGGCCCCTTGTGCCCGCGGCGCTGCGCGGTGGTGTTTTAATGTGGGGGGGGGGGGGGAGGAAGAGCAATGAGTGGCTGTCACCTGCGTGATTACCTGGGGCTCAGCCCCGCCTGAGGAGGCGGCTGTGCGCGCGGTGCCCTCTGCCAGGACTGCCCGCCGCGCTCCGAAGTGTTGAGGCAAGTTTGAGCGTTGGTTTCGGCAGCCGCTGAGCACCTGGGAGCAGAGCGCCCGTGGGAAGGGCGGGCGGCAGCTCGCGGCTTTTTTTTTTTTTTTTCTTTTTTTTGGAGGAGGTGTCAGGGAAAATAATTAAAAAAAAAAATAAAAAATTCTCGATGCGAGCGGAGCTCCGCGTGGGAGCGGCGGGGAGCGCCCCTCGGGCCGTGCCGGCGCCCGACAGCAGGGGGCGCCAGAGCTCCATGGCGCCGCGCTGTTGTCGGCCCCGCGTACTGCCCCGCGCTAAGCTCCGGGGCGCCGGGCCGGGTGGGGAGGTTCGGGGGGAGGCGGTGGACCTTGGCTAGAAGCCTCGGCTGGACACCGCCCGGAGCTCTACGGAACGGCGGTGCCGCCCGTTGCGCCTGGGCGGGGTGTGTGTGGGGGTTCAGCCTGAAGGTATTGAGAGCGCTGCTCGGAACGTCTTCTCCTTCGGTGTACTTGCCTCCGAACCTCCTGCCATGCAGACATTTTGTCTGGGTGTTAAGTAGTGAGACTCCACCGGATGCTCACCGTTTGCGGAGAAATACTTCTCTGCTTTTGTCACCTCGGGACGAGCTCGGTGTGTTTCCCGATTAGCGACCGAGAAGCAGTTCGGAGGCTTTCCAGTGCAGCTAGCGCTGGGATGGCAATGGAAATGCATCTCCGGGTCTTTCTGTCGATCTACCTGAGTGTAATGGTTATAGGAACGTGGTCTGTGGTTTCTCTAACAGAGGAACGGCAGAAGGGTGGTTCATGAACTGTGATTACTGCAGCTTGGAAAGATCGCATAGTTTCGGTATCTTCCTATTGCAAATGTCAGGCATTAAATAATGGAATGTAATTCGAGATGCCATTAAGCAGAGTTCTAGAAATGATAGCAAGACAGATAAGATAGAGGGATGAGAAAGATGAAATCTGAGTAAATGTAACGCTGATAGTAAGTTACAAGCCTTAACACAATGAAATTAGTCCTTTTGTAAATTGATTTTTCTAATGAATGGAGTGCAGTTGTTGTAAGGTGGGAAGAATTTCTGGAGTAGTTGTGGAAATAGTCACATAGCCTCAATGCACAGTGAAGGGATAGTAAATGCAAGTGGGAGATATTGCCTTTTAGGTTGGTAGGGGACAAGGATGTTCTGCAGTGATTGCTTTGAAGATAAACATAGCCTTGGTCAGGGTTTTATTGTTGCTTTCCGTATTTTTTTTCTTGGCGTCTCCTCCAAGTAATCTTGACATATCTTGAAATAATTCAAATAATCTCAGAGGCTGTTCCAAATTCTCTGGGGGCTTATCCTCTCGATATATTAATGAAACTACTATTTTTTTTTTTTTCTTTATGTTGAAGAGGAGGTAAAGAAGAATTTGGATGGTTAAGAAAAACCCAGTAATGGGATTTAGATCATTTGCTTCAGAAATACATAAAATCTTAGCCTGAGGGTTGTGTGTGTTTTTTTTTTTTTTTTTTTTTTAAAGTATGTAGCTGCAGTAGATGTCATGAAAAATGACTGAAGCTTCTTCAATGTGAAGTGCTGTTGTCTAAGACTGAGGCGAGGAAACTGTGATGTGTTTGTTCCATTTCAGAAAACTGAAGCAGTTTGAAAAACAAGTGGCTGACAGCAGCCCTTCTCCCAGCCCCTTTGTGTTGAGAGCTTATGAATGTCATAATTATCTACCAGGGCCAAATATTCCCTTTCCGAATTTCACCACAAGGGAGGAGTTTAACTGACAATGTTGTTATGCTAAAACAAAAGGATTTTTCTTTCCTTAACCTTTCCAAGCTGTCCAGGATGAAAGGCTCAAATTTAATTAGCTTTGCTTTAATAAATAAATAAGCAATAAACAAAACTCTCCCCTTTTACTATGTACAGTGATACAATGCTCAGAAGAGCGGGCTTCATTACTTGTTTTGTGTTTTTGTTTTTTTTTTTTTTAACCAGTGTTTGAGGACACTGACTTACAGAACAATAAAAGAAATAGGATTTTGCTATGTAACATACAGTTCTCCAGGTTAACAGAAAATTTGTGATACTGCAGTATAAATTGCTTCACTTGCAGAATTTAATCCGTTTTGTGTTCATCCTCAGGTATTAGTTTTGGTGAGTACTTGTACTGTTATTGTGCTCTAGGTTTCATCTTCTTGCTGTTTTGATGCAGAGCTCACTTTTGATTTTAATGAAACATTTCTCTTTACAAGTGCTTATAAGGAACTGCTTGTTAATAAAGACTGTTCCCCCAAAAGAGACACCAATGTGTACATCTCATTTACCATGGTATAGTCACTTCCTAGAGCCTTGCAGCTTTCTGCTTTTTATGTTGGAAACAGATGAAATCTTGAATTGTCAGGATTGATGGTATATCTGCTGGATTAAGTGGAACTGGTATTATAGCTCGAGATGTAAACCTGTCCTGTGACTTCAGCTAGCCATTATTTTTGTTACCAGTTGATTCATAGAACTGCAGTAGGATGAAAACAATTTCTCTGGTGTCTTCTCTCCTTTTCATCCTTTGAAAAAAAAAAAAAAAAGCATTAAAAATGTTTTGAGTTTGCTTTTTCTTTTTTAAGCCTTTGTAACTTCTCTTCATGTATAAACCAGAATCAGAGTATTTGCTTGAAAATAAATTGGCTGAAGTGTTCTAGCAGGTTTCCTTCAGAACTGATTCTTCAGAAGTATGTATTTTTGTTTCATGCAATCCTATAAAAATGCTTTATTCAAGGAGGTTTTTACTGCTTTTGGTGGCTTCAAATAATGAAAAGTATGAGATACTCCTGGAGCTGAAGCTTTAGTCTTTTGTTAGAAGTTGAATAGGGTCACAGTTGTTATCTATAGGAGTGTTCCTGAGGTGTTATGACCAGTTTGTGTATTATTTTGCCTTTAACAGGTGCTTCTTACAACATGAAGAAAACAAACAGAGGTTTGTTTGCCCTTTCATTGACCTTTTGAGGTACCCATCCCAGATGATTCCTGTTTATTTACTGGTTTCTTTCTGACTTACTACAGTAATCCTCCAATTATATTCAGTCCGTGGCATTTGATTCCAGGATGAGATCAAGTCAAGTTGGTATGATATTTTGGAAAACACATGTTTTAACTGTGTAGTAGTTGGTGGCTGTAAGTTGAAGATCCATTACTGAAAGAGTAGGATAGGCTGATCTAGGTAGATAATATGGATAATACCTCATATTTTGAGCAGTTCAGAGTAACTAATTTATACCAGATTATTTTTCTTAAGAGCGTGCCTTAGTTGTTATAAAACAATTGCAGTATACTAGAGGCATGCTGCAAGGTATTGCATGTTGCAGGTCATTTGAAATTGGTTTGATTGCTCTTGAAATTCAGAAACAGAGGAGGGCTTATGAGTAACCTGGTAAATGGGCCTTCAGGTTGGAATTTAATAGATTAGATCCAGGCATCCTGGTATCTAGCATATCTTCATTTATTTTAATATCATAAATTATTATGACCTAGTAATTATGTAATATTCCCCTTTTTTCCACCCTTAGTATATTTAGGTGCTTTCTAGTGTATGTAGTTGACTAAAATCATCCAACTTTTGGTATCTGTTTTAAAGCTTGAAATAGTTTTGAACGATAAGAGAGCTCAAAATGCTCTTATTTCGATAATATCAGTAATCCAAGGATGTCTGGCTTCAGTAATGTAATGCTGCATTCTTTAACAATCTTTCTATTGCTTTTAAGCTCAGTTCAACTCAGTACTGTGGTTGTGATTTTAGATGTTCTTAAAGGATGTCAAGAAAATGAAAGGAGTTGATTTTAAAATAGCAAAATAGTCTTCAAAGTCTGCATAATACTTATAACATCTTAAATCAAATCTTCAAAAACAAAGGTACCAAGCTTCTTATCTTTGTTTTAGGGTTACACTTCTATATTACTTGTTATCATTCCTTGATTGCATTAATTGGATAAAGTTGTGTGTTTTTTTTTTAAATTTAGTGTAGGTGAGATAAGAATCTGACTCTTAATTTTTTTGAAGACAAAACATAAATAAGCTAGAGAAGTAAACAGGGAGAGTCACTTGATTATAGATATTTGCATTTGCAGGTCACGTTATTAAAATCTTGTACTAGAAAAAACATTGGCCCTGTAAAACCTGCTTAAATGTAATATGGAGAATGAGCCTCGAAGAATACATGTATGCATACAGAAGCCTTCTTTTTTGAACACTTTTTTTTTTTTTTTTAGACAAGAACCTAATATAAATAGCCTGCATTTGGGTAACTGTGTGAGCAGTGCTGGTTGCACTAGTGTGGAAGCTGCTGTGCTGTGCAGGAGTCAGTTGTCTGCAGTAGGCT